TCATGATCATTATCGGTACGCTCGTGCTTCTTGCGACCCTCTACGCGATCGTCGTGGAAACGTGCGAGGTCGACATCAAAACAGCATCGAAGGATGTCTCTGTCGCACTGGCTTCAGCTCACGGAAGAGCGCGAGTATTTACAAATTCGGTGCCCGACCAAGCCGTCGAAGTGGAGCGAGACGAACGAGCAATCGGGACAGAAGACGCCTCGAATGCGGCCAGCGATGACGTCCAAGCATCGAGACTCGCAAATCTCCTCAATATGTTCGCGCAGAACCCCGGGGCAGAACAGGCACCAGCGGCGCCAGCGCCGGCGCCAGCCGCGCTTCCACCTCGAGGAGAAACTCTCACAGCGCGGCCCTCCATTGTCGGCGGGACGAGCCTTTTCAATCTGTTCGGTGCGTCCGAGGCGGAGGATCCGCAGTTGGAAGGGCTCGCGCCCGCTGAGACTGAGGCGCTCGGCGATATCCACGTCCTCACAAACTACGAACGAGAAGACACCGACTCTGCTATCGTCCCCAGCCCCCACTAGTGCTCATACATACATAGCGCCCCTCATCTCGCCCACCGAGCTCGCCGTCGTGCTGGGGGACGCGGACTGGCTCCCGGAGGACGCGCCCTTCTACTCGTGCGACCTCGGCGACGTCGCCGTCTCCGAGGAACGCGAGGCCGCCGCCGCCGACGACGACGACGCGCCGACCTTCGACCTCTCCGCGGGCCACGCGGGCGACGCCTTCGCGGACCGCCGCGTGAGCCTCGCCTACGACGACGACGACGACGCGGAGACCGCCGTCGTCGCGTGGAAGTCCGCGGCGGCGGACTTCCTCAACGCGCGCGACTGGCGCGGCCTCGAGGTCGCCCGCGGCGAGACGCCCGTGCGGCCCGCCGTCGAGGGCCGCACGGGCGTCGCCTCGGGCTACGCCCAGGAGGAGCGCGACGAGGGGGGGTCGTAAGGCAGTTGCTCGAACGGTACCTTGTGTGGTCCGGGTCCTCCGGCTAATTAAAGGCGACTTGTTAACGAGTCCGCCTGGGAGCAGGTCGAATTCTGGCTCCGAGTCGCGCGTAGGCGCGCACCGTCGCGGTGCGGGGCAGTCACTCTCGGACTACGAGCAGTCCCTCCCGCCGGCGGGGCTCGTGCGGGGCCTCGCCGACGGGCCTGGGGTCGCGCTCCGACGCCGAGGGGGGAAGGGGCGCGAGCGTGCCAGCGGATCCATGTCGCGGCTTACCCTGGCCGTTCCAGCGGAACGCAGCGCCCGGCGGCGGGAACACATCCGGAACCCTGGTTGAGGCTCGTCGAAAGCAAGCCACAGCGCGACGCGACCGTCGACACAACTCCACGGCAACCCCATCGACTCCTGCGCGCACCAAGCGACGCCAGAACCAGGAAAAACTACTCATCCTCTATGAATCGCCGCGCCGTCCTCCTCCTCATCGCCTCCGTCGCCGCCGCGGCCACCCCCGGCAAGCTCCGCGGCGCCGACCCAGGCGAGGGCGGCCACGCCGCCGTGGACAAGCACGAGCGCAAGGGCTCGCTCCGCTCCCTCGCCGCGCTCGTCGACCGACCTCGCGCTCGCCCGTTCGCCGGCCGAGTCCTCGCCGCGAAGAAGACGTGCGCCGACCACGAGAAGAAGAAGACCTGCAAGAAAAATGGCTGCGCCTGGTCCAAGAAGGACGGATGCCAAGACGGGCCGGACGAGGCCGAGGACGAGGCCGAGGACGAGGCGGAGGACGAGGGCGAGGCCGAGGACGAGGCGGAGGACGAGGGCGAGGCCGAGGACGAGGCGGAGGACGAGGGCGAGGCCGAGGACGAGGCCGAGGACGAGGCCGAGGGCGAGGCCGGGACGTGCGCCGACCACGAGAAGAAGAAGACCTGCAAGAAAAATGGCTGCGCCTGGTCCAAGAAGGGCGGATGCCAGGACGGGAGGCCGAGGACGAGGCCGACTGAAATGCANATTTCACTCGATCTCCTTTT